AAAAATATGTTTATATAACTTCACATAAGTAGCAAAATAATACAAAAATTCAATATGTAGTTGCCGAACAAGGTACAAATATAGATAAAAAAATAAATATTCAAAGATCATAAATGCTAAATGTATCTTAATATAATAATTTTCTAAACTAAAATTTTTAGAAATAATAAGTGAAACTAAACACACAAGTTATTTGTCAGTGATAACCCTATCTTGTGTGAGATTTGATCGATTGACAATGTCAGAGCGACAACAAAATAGATATGCACAATCGTTGTCCCTTCGTGTGGATTACTTGGTGACTTCTTGTAACGACATTGACAACTAACTCTAATGAATAACATTTCTAATGAATAACATTTCATAGTTGTTAGGTTTTAACGAGACAGACATTAAGAATGAAAATAGAGTTATAGTAAAGAAGTTCAGTAACAACAAAAAATGGATACGTAAAATATTTTTTTTAAATTTTGAATTTGAAATTGAAAGAAAAATAATAGATTTAATTAAAATAATATATATATATATATATATATATATATATTAATACTAGTATTTTTAACTCATATACTGTACGAAAGTATTTTATCAAAAATACAAATTTTTGAAAAATTATTTTAATGAATTAAATATTTATAACGTATATAAATTTTAAAAGAAAGAATTTGAATAAAAGATAAATGGTCACAATAAAATTTTATAATAAAGAAATATACGTGTATATTAAAAAAATTATACTTTTTTATCTGAAAAAAATTAACAAATAAAAATTAACAATAATTTTTTATATTTATATCTTTTCAAAAATTTCTTTGAACGTGAATAAATAGTAAGAATTGTATTATTTAGATTCAATAGATTATAGTTGTGCTTAATACATATGTTGCATAGAAAAATATTATTTTAAATTAAAATATAAAAAATAAAATTTAAATATTATTAATAAATAATAAGTTTACGGTAATAGTAGGTGATTGTAAAATTTATAAAATATTTACAATATATTTATTATTTATCATTCACTTTATGATTTAAACATCAATATGATTTTATTAACAAAAATATTTGTGTGAAAAATATTTTATGTGTATCATATATAAATAATATTGTAAAAAAATTCAATCTCATATTAACTATATAATAATTAAATTATATTAGCCTAATTAAATGATATAAAACAGTAAATAAATTTTTCTATTAAAAAATATAAACCAAAATAATTTTTTTGGTTTACTTTATTATTAAATATATTTTTATATTAATCTTATATAACTTCATATAAGTAATATAATAATACAAAAATTCAATGCATAATTGTAGAATAAAGTTCAAGCATGTATATATATATATATGCGGGTATAGGGTGGGGTGGGTACTTAAATACCCATACTCGCACGCATCCCCATTAAAATTGTGGATTTTTACCCACATCCATACCCGTACTCATATAGCGAGTAAATACTCTACCCATTATGGGTAAATTTTACGTGTGCTCATCAGGTACTTTACTCATTGCCATCCCTATTTAATATCCAAGTATATTTATGTAAATAAATAAATATTTAAGGTATTTTAATCTAGTTAAAAATAATTAGTTTTCTATGTTATTTTAATTTACAATTTAGTTGTCATAATTTAAGTGTCTAAATTTTTTTAGATATTTTTTAAAAAAATTATCTAAATAATATTTTATTTATAAAATTTTAAAAATTTTAAGAATATAATAAGTTTATTTTCTATTTATTTATTCATCATTTATGAAAATAAGTTGTATCATTAAATTCTATAATTTTCAATAATTATTATAGTTTCCTTTGTATTTTTTTTCCTAAAAATAGTCTATAAAAATTTATTTTAATAACTATCTTAAATTTTTATATTTTAACGGTGTTTTAAGTTTAATTCTTCTAGTTAAATGAAAAACTAAATAATTAACTTTCACTACTAGAAAACTTGCAAATATAGACAAATTTACAGACAAATTTTTTATTGTTACAGACGAATTTTAGCATTATAGATAAATTTATAGACGGTTACAGTTCGTCTGTAATATGCGCATCGGTAAATAATTACAGACAGATTTTTGAATCCATCTGTAATTTACAGACAGAAAAATTTGTCTGTAATTCATTTATAAAATTTTAAAAAAATTGTTTCATTTTTTAAAAATATAATTATTCCTTACTGTTTCTAATTATCACAATTTATAAATATAATAAAAACTACAAAATTATATATTTAAATAAAAAATTATTTATAAAATATAAAATTAAAATGTCATTACAAATGAAGAAATAAAAATCTAAAAAAATAATATAAAAAATAAAATAACATTATATATTATTAATAATCAGTGTGATCATCTTCCAAAAAAGTATTGCCATTAGAAGAAGGTTGTGTGGTATGTGTAGTCGGTAATGAAGGGGGATGAGCAACATATCTAGGGTTAGACACTGTGATAAACTGCTCCTATCCCCTATCTTGCGAGGTCTGCATAGTAGCTGATGTGGAGGTGGAAGTAAGAGCAGTGGATGAAGGAGTGTTGCCATGATTAGAAAGCTAAGCAACACTTTTTTACCTTTACTTGTCATGTCTGAATCAAATATAATACATGTTTAGAGACCAAATATACAATATTGTATCAACCTTTTATTTTACATTGCACAAATTTCTAATGTAAATTTTGGCAGAATCTCCCTTAATATATGAATATTTCCTTATATTTGTTTACACTTAATACAACAAATTTCTAATATAAATTTTGACAGAATCTCCCCTAATATATGAATATTTCCTTATATTTGTTTATACTTAATGCAACAAATTTCTAATATAAATTTTAGCAGAATCTCCCTAATATATTAATATTTTCTAACATCTGTTTACACTTAATACAACAAATTTCTAATGTAAATTTTGACAGAATATCTATTAATATATGATATTTCCTTACATTTGTTTACACGTACTTAATATAAAAATCTAAATTTCCTTTACACATAATCTATATATTATGTAACAATCTATTAATCAATGCATAAAAAACATACATATTACAATCCTAAACCGTTCTAGAGCACATCCCTTTATAATTCTACAACATGATATTCTACAAACTCCGTAAACACAAATAATACCACAACACACAATAATCAAGTTCAGAGAAGGACTTCTACACCCTTCTTCCCAGTCATACAATCTCTAATCCTACAATTCTATATTAGAAATTTTAAGTCTCTAAAATACATCAAAAAATAAAAAACTAAACCGATTAAAAGTTATAGTTTCATACCAAGAACACAATGATGTAAATTATCTTTCAAATTGATGCTCCAATCACTCGCAAAGGCCAAAAAATTGAAGCTCCTAAAGAAAGAGGCGAGAGAGAGAGGAAATTATGCAAAATGAGGAAGAAGGAGGAGGTGTGGATTTATGTGTTTTGCACATTACAAATGAAAAAATCTGTCTGTAAATTGTTTAATAAAACGATGCATTTTAAAAGTTCAATTACGGACAAATTTATCCGTCTATAAATTCGTCAAGTACAGACAAAAAAATCTGTCTGTAGATTGCCAGCTGAAAAGTTGATAAAAAATGACAATATTTACATACGAAAATTTTCGTCTGTTACTCTCGCTCCGAAATTTCTCCTCCATTTTCAAATTACAGACAAAAAAATTCGTTTGTAATTCTTGTCTATAATACTTTGCACCAAATGGCAGGTCAACTTCAAACGACCATTACAGATGAATTTTTATTTGTCTGTAATATAGACGGATTTACTGACGGATTTTTCTATAAATAACGCTTTTTTAGTAGTGTTTTAGAATAGATTTTGGATGTCCTAAATGGTCCAAAATGAGATTCAAAGAATCAAAATATAAATTCAAAAGCTTTTGATAAAAAAATTATCAATTAAATGTTAATTAGTAATTATTTGTCTTAATCAATTTGTTATTTTATAAGCAAAATTATTTATTCTTCTTCATTTTTGCTTGGAATTTTTCGTGGTCTATAACTTCATTAAAGTCTTAATATTTCTTAATTTTATTTCATTAAATTTAACATTAAAAAATTCAAACAAAAATATCAATAAATCCTAAAAAAAAATTCTTATTTATGAATTTTCCTTTAATTTTGCTAGATTATGAAAAATTAAATTTTCATGTTATCATCTCAATCACACATCGGTAGTGATTGGTTAAAGGAAAATCTTCTCACACTAATCTTCTCGCACTAAGCATATGTTTTAAAGGGAAAAATTTTCTCACATTAATGTAAGTTTAAAAACTTTTATACTAAATATGAACCTTTAGTTTAACTTATATCTAACAGTCAGTGAAGTAATAAATTATAAACCGTTATAATTAAGTCAAATAAAAGATTCAAATCAAGTGTAAGAGTTTTTAAACTTATACTAGTGTGCAAAGGTCCTGCTCCATGTTTTAAACATTAAAAAATCTTCAAAATAATAGAATGAACATAAAAAACCTAATCCTTGAAGCGTAAGATTCCTCATGCGTGAACTTATATCACTCTTGAAGTATATAATCTTATAATTCAAGAAAACCTAATTATTACTGTTTGGGATAATGAAAATTTTCTAAGTTAAAAATCATCTCAAAGGAAACTACATTTCAACAAGTTTTGGGAGTCAAGAAGGAGCCAAAGATAAGCCTGAACATAAGAGAATATTAGAAGATTATCTAAGATCTTTAGTTTTAATTAAAAGGTACACATTTTGAGCTATTTTATGAGATTTTTGTCACATTGTTGATTTTTCTCTAAACTGCTTGAAAGACAAGAAAATATTCTAAGACCACAAAACTAAACCACGTAAAACTAGTTCTTGATTAATCGTTTTGATAAAAAATCATGTCTGTTATTAAAATTTCTACTGCCATATCATGCTCCTAATAAGGAAAAATTTAACTTGTAACTTATTAAGTTGGCATTGGTAGATGATATTTACTGTTATTGCAAGTTATTTCTCTTATTTAACAACTGTAAATTCTGAATGCCATTTCTCCACAAAGTATGATTGTATCTCACAATTGAAAATGTAATCAGCTTTTATATTTGCTAGCTTGAAGTTTTAAATTTTTTCTAGGGTCAAAAAGAAAATGGCTTTAAATTTTAAATACATACTTTCTGTTACAGTTTTTAGCTGCAATTCAATTACTTCTTCCCTCTCTTCTGCTTCCTCTGGTATGAAATTCCTATCATCCTTGATCTCTAGATTCTCTTCTGTGTGTGATGCTGGAATCTGTTGTTGTTTCTGAGTATCATTAGTTGGATCAATTTCTGCAGTCTCTCCCTCCAGATTCAAATGCTTTATCATTGGGGTCTCCTGGTTCTGCACTGCAGATTGAGATTCAGCTTTCTTCTCATTTTCCGTAATGGTTTGATGTGTCACTTCATGTAGATCAAATGCCTATTATATGTTATCACAAATTCTGCATCAGCTAAAAGATGTTGGATTCCATAAAAATATTTCTTTTTTTTATCATAGACTCATAATTAACTTGGGCAAATGTGAAAATGAATGATAGTCTCTATTCTTTTAGCATATTATGTTGTTGTCATTCTCAAACCTTGGGAACTCTTATTTTCTCCTCAGAATTAACTTCTTTGATCGGCCCCTCTTTTGTAGTAGTCACTTCTACCTCTTCTGTATGCATTTCTCCTTGATTGCTTTCACCAAGTTCTCCAGTGCCAACATATGTCGTAGTTGGTAAAGTTTGCAGGGAGATATCGTCAGACACACCTATTATTATACAACTGAGAAGTTGAATGCAATGATGCACACAATGTTGTCTATGTTAATGTTTAACTGTACCTTTATGTTATCATCAAATTAAAATAGCCCCCTGCCACAATCAGCTGATTTTTATTACTCTTTTTATGTTATCATCTACTCATAGAGCTCAACAAAACTGTGTTTCTTCCAAATATACTATTTTAAATTTTTTTGTGTCAGAGATAGTTGTTTCAAAGATTTGAAAAATCATGTTGGTGTTTTTCCATTTATTTTCCTTGGAAAAGTGTTTATGATTTCTTGCTGCATGTCAAGTCCATGTCAAATAAAAAGAGAAAGTTTTCTCTTGCAGTTTTAGTAGTAATAAATTCTTTAATATTTGAAAACATACTTTCTGAAGCAATTTGTAGTAACTGTAATTCGTTTTCTTCCTCCATCTCATTTGCTTGCTTTTGTATGAAGTTCCCATCATCTTCAATCTCCTGTTTTTCTCCTGTGTGTGGTGCTGGAACCATCTGTCGTTTCATATTATTGTTAGTTAGATTAATTTCTACATTATCTCCCTCCAGATTCAAATGCGTTATCATTGTGGTCCCCTGGTTCTGCACTTCAGATTGAGGTTCAGCTTTCATCTCATTTTCCATGATGGTTTGATGTGTCACTTCAAGTCGATCAAATGCCTATTATATGTTATGATAAAAATTGCATCAGCTAAAAGATGTTGGATGACAAGAAAAATATATTTTTTAATCCTGGGCTCATGATTAATGTGTGCAGCTGTGAAGATGAAAGATAGAGTCTATTCTTTTAGCATATTTTCTTCTTCTCACTCAAACCTTGAGAACTCTCATTATCACCTCGGAATCATCTTCTGGGATGTGCCCCTCTTTGGCAGTTCTCACTTCTAATTCTTCTTCTGCATGCATCTCTTCTTGATTTCTTACACCAAATGCTCCAGCACGAACATATGTTGTAGTTGGTAAAATTTGCAGAGCCATATCTTCAGTCACACCTATCATTATACAACTGAGATGTTGAAGGCAATGATTCACACAATGTTGTCTGTATTAATGTTTAGCAGTCCCTTTATGTTATCTTCAAAATTAAAATAGACCCTGGCACAATAGGTGGCTCTTTGTTGTCAAAATATTACTCTTTTTATGTTATCTTCGACTCATAGAACTGAACAAAACTGTATTTTTTTCAAATATACTAATTTTATACTTTTTTTGTGTGACATATTTGTTTCTAAAGATTTGAAAATCAAGTTGGTGTTCTTTTGTATATTTTCTTTGGAAAGGTGTTCATGCTTTATTCCTGCATGTCAAGTCAATCTCAATGAAAAGAGAAAGTTCTGTTGGGCAGTTTTAATTTTGAAAACATACTTTCTGATGCAGTTTGCAGTGACTGCATTTCATTTGCTTCTTCTCTCCCTTTTTCTTCATCTTCTATGAAATTCCCATCACCCTCAATTTCTAATTTTTCTCCAGTGTGGGTTTCTGGAACCATTTGTTGTTTCTCAGTACCAGTCGTTGGATTAATTTCTGCAATCTCTGCTTTGAGATTCAAAAGCTCTATCATTGTAGTCTGCTGGTTCTGCATTTCAGGTTGGGATTCATCTTTCATCTCATTGCCCATGATTGTTTGATGTGTCACTTCATGTAGATCAAGTGCCTAATATATATTATGACAAATACTGCATCAGCTAAAACATGTTGGACACCGTGAAAATAAATATTTTTATCATTGGTTCATTAATTAACTTGTGCAAGTGTGCAGATAAAAGATAGTGTCTATTCTTTTAGTATATTTTCTTGTTGTAACTCTCAAACCTTGGGAAGTCTTTTTTCCTCCTCAGAATCATCCTCTAGGATGTGCCCCTTTTTGGTTGTCACTTCTAATGCTTCTTCTGCATGCATTACTTCTTGATTGCTTTCATCAAATGCTACAGCACCAACACTTGTTGTAGTTGGTAAAGTTTGCAGGGCCATATCTTCAGGCACACCTATCATTATACAAATGAGATGTTGAATGCAATGATTCACACAATGTTGTCTGTGTTAATATTTAGCTGTACCTTTATGTTATCTTGAAAATTAAAATACCCCCCTGGCACAATAAACTTCTAACTGTTTTTCTGTTATCTTCTACTCATTGAATAAAACTGTGTTTGTTTAATATATACTAATTTTAATTTTTTTTTTGGTGAGATATTTGTTTCTTATGATTTGAAAAATCATGTTTTTTTATTTACTTGCTTTTGAAAGGTGTTTGGGCTTTTTTCTTGCATGTCATGTCAATGTCAATGAAAAGAGAAAGTTCTGTCTGGCAGTTTCAAGAGTACTGAAGTGTTGTTTAATTTTGAAAACATACTTTCTGAGGCAGTTTGCAGTGACTGCATTTCATTTTCTTCTCTTCCTTTTGCTTCCTCTTGGATGAAATTCCCGTCCCTCTCTATTTCTAGTTTTTCTCCAGTGTGGGTTGTTGGAACTGTTTGTTGCTTCACAGTATCATTGGATGGATTAATTTCTGCAGTCTCTCCTTCAATATTCAAAAGCTCAAACATTGTGGTCTGCCGGTTCTGCATTTCCGTTGGGGTTTCAGCTTTCATCTCATTTGCCATAATGGTTTGATGTGTCACTTCATGTAGGTAAAATGCCTAATATGTTATGACAAATACTGCATCAGCTAAAACTTGTTGGATACCATGAAAATAAATATTTTTTATCACAGGCTCATAATTAACTTGTGCAAGTGTGCAGATGAAAGATAGTGTCTAGTCCTTTAGTATATTTTCTTGTTGTAACTCAAACCTTGGGAACTCTCTTTTTCTCCTCAGTATCATCTTCTGGGATGTGTGCCTCTTTGGTATTTGTCACTTCTAATTTTTCTTCTGCATGCATTTCTTCTTGATTGCTTTCATGAAATGCTCCAGCACCAACATATGTTGTAGTTGGTAAAGTTTCCAGGGCCATATCTTCAGGCACACCTATCATTATACAAATGAGATGTTGAATGTAATGATTCATGAAAAGTCATTTCTTGCCGGAAAAAATGTCTAAAGTTTTTTGAAATGTTCATTTTCAGCATACAACTCAACCCATGTCTTGTTCTTAATGAAGTGAATCATCTGCATGCAACTTACCTATACACCAGTCAAATTAAAACATACTTTCAAGTTCCATGCAACATGCTAGACTTCCTTCTTTGGTATATCCTAGAGACTAAACATTTTGATAAGACATAAGGTGCTCATACCACCTTACACTTTCATCTTCAAGAATCCAATGTGTCGCATACCACATAGGTTCACAAGGTGAATGTTAAATTCTTAACTAGTATAAGAGTAGAACAGTAAAACCTAACATCACTAAACAATAACAATTTTCCACACACTCTATATGACCTATGGGGTTCTACTTGGCAATTATGGCTTTAAGTAATGGAATATATCAATTGAGAGAAATGGAGAATTGTCGTGGAATGGGCTTAAGTTCCAGCCCTCTTTCGCATTTACTATATACACATGTATATGTGTGTTTCTTCTATGTACATAGGTGGTCTCATGGACTTAAATTCCAAGGCAAATAAATTATAAGATTTACACCTTTAGGAACTAGAAATTTATTTGTGCACAAACACTAATTTAAATGATTATATGGGAATTTATCAACAACTCCACCTATGGCCTCATAATTGGTCCCAAGCCTAGGTAAAGGAGAAGGGTTGTCTTAGGCCTTCAGCAATCAACGTAGAACTTGTCGAAACCTTTTATATGGATTACGCATGACGATATTGTGCGATGGCTGGGTCATTACCCGGAATTAATGCCCTACATGACTTGAGTATAGTGTCAAATAAGCTAGAGCAACTACATTGGTGTCAGATGTAATGTGAAATGAGCAAGGGTCCACATATTTGGCTAGAAAAATGTGGGTAAAGAAGTTAGTCCAAGAATGTGTTTTTTGATTTGGTTAATGGAATATCGATACTTTGACAAGAAAGTCGTTAGAAGTGGTGGACAATATGGTTCGTAGAAATATTTACAACATGTGCCTTCAAGAAACAAAATGGGTTGAAAATAAGGTTAAAGATCTTGATACTACAAGTTTCAAACTTTAGTATGCAGAAAAAGTCAAGGAAAAGAACTGAGTAGGAATCATTGAGGATAATACTTGAAAAAAGAACGTGGTAGAGATTAAAAGGATTGGGGATAGGATTATATCTTTCAAGTTATTGGTTGCACAAGACACTGTTAACGTCATTAATGCTTATGCTCCACAAGTGGCTCAGAAACCCTTTTGAAAGAAAAGTTTTGGGAGGATTGAGAGGAGTTGGTCTAAGACATTCCACAAACCAAAAAGATTTTTATCGGTGGAGACTTTAATGGTCATGTTGATTGTGAGGCAAGACAATTTATAAGGGTTCATGGTGATTTTGGTTTTGGACAGTTAAACGAGAAAGGACAATCTATTCTTAATTTCTTAATGACCTACAACTTTAAGATTATGAACACTTGTTTTAATAAGAGGAAAGAACATTTCATCACTTTTAAGAGCAATGCTTCAAGGTTGCAAATTGATTTTTACTTGGTAAAGAATCTAGACAAAGGAATTTGTAAGGATTGCAAATTGATTCCAAGAGAGAGCCTTACTACACAACATAAGGTCTTGGTCTTTGATGTTTGTTTCAAGATTGGTAAATAAACAACTTGACGAGGTATTGTTTCACAAATTAACTGGTGGCTAGTTAAAGGTGAGAAATAGTTAGACTTTTAGAAGTAATTAGTAAAAGAGGGTAGCTGGGCTGCACAAGGTAGCTCTAATATCATTTAGGACAAAATGGCTATAGAGTTTAGGAAAGTTGCTAAGACAATTTTAGGTGAATTTAGAGATTTGGACCAAAAGACAAGGAATCATGGTAGTGGAATGAAAGTGTGCAAGTGAAGATTAAAGAGAAGAGAATGTGTTTTTAAAACTTTGCATACATGCAACAATGCTAAAAATTGAGCAAAGTATCGAATTGTAAGAAATGAAACAAAAAAGCATGTTCTAAGGCTTTCGAACGGTTTTATCAAGATCTTGGGACAATGTATGATGAACGAAAGATTTATAAGCTTGCCTAAAATAAAGAAAAAAAATCTAGAGATTTGGATCAAGTTAAATGTATTAAGGATGAAGAAGGGAAAAATTTTGGTTTCTGATCAAGAAATCAAAGATGGATGGGAGAAATATTTTTATAAACTTTTTAACAATAGACAAGGAGCAAGTGGAATATAATAGGATTAGAAGTGCAAGCGATGATCTAAATTTAGCATATTACCGTAAGATTCGAGTTAGAGAAAAAGAAGATCTTAAGAGGATGGACAATGGTAAAGTATTTGGCCCCAATAATAACTGTATAGAAGTTTGGAAAAGTTTAGAAAAACAAGGACTTGAGTGGTTTACTAAGCTCTTTAATAAGATTTTAAGACCTAAGAGTGTGTTAGATGAATGGAGGAAAAACACTTTAGGAAAAACACTTTGGTTCTTATATACAAGAACAAGGGTGACATCCAAAATTGTGCAAACTATAAAACACTTTAATACAGCTGTACATATTTGTTGTAATTGATACATGTTTATTGCAGAATTATTTTATTACCATATATAGATATCAGTTTTAGGAAGTTGTTTATAATCCCTGAAAATCTACTGTATTAGAGGAACATTTACAGCATATTTCTTTTTGTAAAGTTTCACAATTAATATTTAAAGAGAGACAAGGCCTCAAGGAAGGCAAGCAATCTTATCACAGAAATACTCTAGTTTGTTATCTTTTTATGTGTCTTGTGTTTTTCTGACATGGTATCAGAGCTAAAACTCTGAACCGTGGTAAGTGTCTTTGTCTTGGTTATTTGTGTCTTGGACATATCTCAACACATTTTTTGGTTGTTGCTTTTGTGTTTTCTTGGTGCATCATGTCTTGTGAGAAAGTAGAATCTTTCCATGTTTGTTTTAATGGAAAAAATTACTTTGCCTGGGAATTTCAGTTCAAATTGTTCGTGAAAGGGAAAGAATTATGGGGTCATATTGATGGGAAGGATCTAGCTCCCAAAGATGCAGAGGCCTTGGTAAAATGGGAAATTAAGGATGCTTGTGTCATGACGTGGATGTTCAGGGTGATGTTCTTGATGCAGCTCTCACTGCTATCATAAAAGTACATGAATCCAGCAAGAGGAACCAATTTTTGATGAAGTTGTGTCCATACTTTGAAGTGGCTCATTCTAATTTGATGAACCGCGATCCTGTACCTTCCTTAGATGCTTGTTTGAGTGCACTCCTTTGAGAAGAACAATGCTTACTGACTCAAGCATCAATGGAACAAAAAACTAATGCTAATGACCCAATTAATGTAGCCTATGCAGCACAAGGAAGAAGCAAAGGGAAATATGTGCGTGGTATTCAATGCTATAGTTGTAAAGGGTTTGGTCACATTGCAAAGGAATGTTCGCAGAAATTTTGTAATTATTGCAAACAACGGGGGCACATCATTTCCTCATGTCCCACACGACCTGTAAGGAGGCAAGGAACTGCATATCATGCCTCAGTTGGTGCATCAAGTTCTGCTGCTACTTCTATGATTGAACATGATACAGCTGCACCTTTTGCCTCATCTCAAAATCCAAATACACTCACTCTTGAAATAGTACAGCAGATGATACTTTCTGCTTTTTCTGCATTTGGATTCTCAGGTAGTTTTAATTCTCATTCTCTGCCTTGGTATATTGATTCTGGAGCCTCTAATCATATGACAAATATAATTGTACCTCTGCCCAATGTTCAAAAATATGATGGAACTCAAAAAATACATACTGCTGATGGAAATTCTCTGGATATAAGTGTTGTTGGTGATATTTCTCCATCTCTAACTAATGTTTTTGTGTCTCCTGGACTATCTACTAATCTTATTTCTGTTGGACAATTAGTAGACCATGATTGTAATGTGCAATTTTCTTCTTTTGGTTGCATTGTGTAGGATCAAGTGTTGGGAAAAATAATCGCAACAAGGCCTAAAGTGGGACGACTCTTTCCTATACAACTTCCTAGATTTCCTCTTTCTGGAACTTGTCGTAGATTTCCTTTACTCTCACTTGCTTGTATTGATGCGAAAATTGGTAACCAAGAGTGGCATAAGCGTCTAGGCCATCCCAATCCTTACATTCTTTGTACCTTGCTTAAATTTGGTTCATTAGGCAATAAAAATTCTCACATTCTTGATGTTTCCTTTGATTATACTACATGTAAATTGGGAAAAAGTAAAGTTCTGCCGTTTCCTTCTAATTCATTCCATGCAACTGAATGTTTTGATGTAATCCATAGTGATGTTTGGGGTATTGCTCCTGTTATTTCTCATACATACTATAAGTATTTTGTTACTTTCATAGATGATTGCAATTGCTTTACATGGGTGTATTTTCTTCGGTCTAAAATAGAGATTTTCTCAATTTTTAAACGTTTTGTAGCCTTCATTAAGACTCAATTCTCCAAGCATATAAAAATTTTGAGATCTGATTCAGGTGGGGAATATATGTCTAAAGATTTTCAGGTCTTTCTACAAAACAAAGGAATAATTTCTCAACGCTATTATCTTTCAACACCACAACAAAACAGCGTAGCCGAAAGAAAGAATCGTCATCTTCTTAATGTTGTTAGAACTCTTCTTCTTGAATCATCTATTCTTCCTCGTTTTTGGTGTGAAGCTCTTTCTACTGCAGTTCATTTAATAAACTGTCTTCCATCTCCCATGTTAGGTAATGTTTCACCGTTTCATAAGTTGCATGGATATACTCCTTCTTATTCTGGTCTTCGTATATTTAGTTGTATTTGTTTTGTGCATCTTCTTATTCATGAGCATCATAAACTTCTTGCTCAATCTGTTAAGTGTGCCTTCTTGGGTTATTCTAATTCACAAAAAGGTTATGTTTGTTATGATCCATCTGCTCGTCGCATAAGAGTATCTAGGAATGTTATTTTTTTTTAAAAATAATTTTTTTTCCATCATATGTTGAACCACAATCTTCTTCACTTTCGCTTATGCCTCACTTTTCAAATGATTCATCCATGGTGGAACATTTCAAACCTAGTGTTGTGTATGAAAGACGTCGTAACAAGTTAGGCTCTCATCCAGATCCTAGCCCGGCATCTTGTCGTGCCTCCTATTCGTCGATCCACTCGGCCATCTAGACCTCCAGATTGGTATGGTTTTCTTTCCCATGTATCCTTCAGTACTACTTCGACTTCTATTTCTGTTCCATCAAGTTTTAAACAGGCAATGGAACAAGAGTGTTGGAAACAGGCTATTCAAGCGGAATTGGAGGCTCTTAAAGAGAATCAAACTTGGGATATTGTTCCTTGTCCATCGAATATTAAACTCATTGGGAGTAAATAGGTTTTTTCTATTAAGCTACATTCTGATGGTTCTTTGGATCGTCATAAAGCACGTCTTGTGGCTCTTGGTAATAAGCAAGAATATTGAATTGATTATGAGGAGACATTTGCTCCTGTGGCTAAATTAACTACTGTTAGAACTATACTTGCTATTGTTGCATCTCAGTCTTGGCCACTTCATCAAATGGATGTAAAGAATGCTTTTCTACACGGTGATCTTAATGAAGAAATTTACATGAAGCTTCCTCCTGGTTTGTCTACTTCTTCTCCTCAGAATGTTTGTAGATTAAAACGGTCTTTATATGGACTTAAGCAGGCACCTCACGCTTAGTTTGAGAAGTTTCGTAGTACACTTCTCAACTTCTCTTTTTCACAAAGTCACAATGATTATTCTCTTTTCTTTCATAAGTCTTCTACAGAGATAGTTCTTCTCTTAATTTATGTGGATGATATTGTTATCACTGGCTCAAATTGGAGCTTAATTTCCAAGCTTCAAGAAATGCTTAATTCTACTTTTCAGACGAAGGATCTGGGCCATCTAACATATTTTTTGGGTCTAGAAGTTCATCATCGGTCAAATGGAATTTTTGTGAATCAATATAAATATATCCAAGACCTTGTGGCTTTGGCAGGTTTACATGGTGCTAGTTCGATGGATACTCCTATGGAAGTCAATGTGAAACACAGCAAAACCGTAGGAGATTTGCTGCCTGATCCTACTCTTTGTCGACGTTTGGTTGGAAGTCTTATATAGTTAACAATCACTCGCCCTGACATTTCATATGCAGTTCACCAAGTTAGTCAGTTTATGTCCTCTCCTCGACATCTCCATCTTGCTGTTGTTCGTTTTATTATTCGCTACCTCCTTGGCACTACTATGTGTGGGTTGTATTTTTCCTTTGGTAAATCTTTGCAGCTCACAGCTTATAGTGATGCTGATTGGGCCGCTGTCCCGACAGTCGCCGATCAACTACAGGTTGGTGTGTGTTTCTAGGTGATGCATTGATATCTTGGATGGGTAAGAAACAAGACCGAGTGGCTAAATCATCCACCGAGGCTTAATATCGTGCAATGTCATCTACTAGTTCAGAAATTGTTTGGTTGCGAAGTCTTTTAGAGGAACTTGGCTTTACACAATCTGATTCCACCCCATTGTATGCTGATAATACAAGTGCCATTCAGATCGCAAAATTCCTGTTTTCCATGAACGTACCAAGCACATCGAGGTGAACTGCCATTATATTAGAGAGATCTTCAACAAACAACTTATCTCTCTTCCTTACATTTCCACTACCCACCAAGTAACAGATATCTTTACTAAAGCAATGACAAAGCCACGACATAAGTTTCTTGTTGACAAATTGCTACTGGATGACTTACCAGCATCAATTTGAGAGGGGATGTCAATATCTCAATATAGTTGTACATATTTGTTGTAATTGATACCTGTTTATTGCAGAATTATTTTATTACCATATATAGATATCAATTTTAGGAAGTTGTTTATAGTCCCTGAAAATCTGCTATATTAGAGGAACATTTACAGCATATTCCTTTTTGTAAAGTTTCACAATTAATATTTAAAGAGAGACAGGGTCTCAAGGAAGGCAAGCAATCTTATCACAAAAATACTCTAGCTTGTTATCTTTTTATGTGTCTTGTGTTTTTCTGACACTTACAAGGGACATACAAAAGATTATCTCTAAGTGAATGCTCTTTGTGGATGACACATTGTTGGTTGAGGATTTAAAAGAAGAGGTTCATGCTTAATTTGAGTTATTGAGGGAGACTTTAGAATGTAAGAGTTTTTGCTTGAGTAGATCTAAGTCAAAGTATATACATTGTAAGTTTAGCAAAAAGCAATATGAGGATCATGCATTAGAAGTTAAAATTGGAGATGATATTATACCACAAGTTTGCAAGTTCAAGTACTTGGGATCAATTATACAAAATGATGTTACTCATGAAGTACAAGCTAGGTGGTTAAAGTGGAGAAAGACATTAAGAATTATTTGTGACTGTAAAGTACTTATAAAACTTAAAGGAAAGTTTTACTATACTGCAATACAACTAACTATCCTATATGATAGTGAGAAATTTAGGCCTTAAGGGAACATAAGAAGAAAGTGAAAGTGGTAAAAATGAGAATGTTAAGGTGGATGAATGAATGCACAAAACAGGCCAAAATAAGAAATGATAGTATATGTGAGAATATTGGAGTAGCACTTTTAGTGAAAAAAAATAACTAAAAATCATTTTAGGTGGTTCGATCACATGCAAAGAATATCTTTGGAGGTACCAGTGAAGTGAACAGAGTAGATTGCATGACTTATAGTCTAGTAAAAAGGGGTCGAGGGAGACTAGAAAAAACACATTAGATGAAGTTTTTAAAAGAAACCTTTTGGTTAACTAGATTTATGAAAACTTGATTTTTGACCGAGTTCAATGGCGTCATGTGATCCATGTAGCCCACCTCACCTAGTGAGATAAGGCATGGTTTTTGTTGTATTTGGGAATTTAGTAACATATATAAATATGTCCATAAAGGTTAATGTTGATTGACTCTTCACCTTCTAAAATTGAACAGTGAGACACTTGAACTAAATGTGTCATTGGGAATGCACTTTCCATTTTAGAATTTCTTAAATGGCTTCGTTGAGTTATAGGCATTGGTTAGTCATGAGTTTTATGGAAAAAGAATAAGGTTTTAACACGAGTTCCTATTAGCTAGAGTTGATAATACTAAATATTTTTTAGTAAAATATTTAGAATACAACACATAAGAAAAATAATTAAAAGCAATGAACCTATAGTTCCTCCATGTAAATATATTTTTAGAAAATACTTCACTTAGGAAATTTAAAACAATTTCCTAAAGGTATGTTCTTGAGTATAAGTGCCTCTATATAGATGAAAATATAATGATCTTACATGTGGACAACCTTAAGTGGTTTAGTGTTCCTATTCTTATAAGACATCTATAAATTAACTAAAATAAGATAATACAATCATTTATAAAATTACATCCTTCAATGAATATATACTATATTCATGAAGAGAAAAATAAATAGTTTAATGAGCATAAATAGTTTGCTCTAATACAAACCAATTGTACTGAAATATTTGTGGTTAAAAAATTTATAATATTTTCACAATCTTCAATTAGATAAATACTGACTATATAAAACCCTTAAATAACTATTCTCAATTTGGTAAATACCCATTCTCTTCGTTATTGAAGATAGGTACTCATTCTTTTTTATTACAATTTATTCACCAGGTAAATATCATTTTTAGATACCGAGGTTTATAAACCTTCATAGAAAAATAATAAGTTACTTTACATAATTATACGTAAATTGTAGAGGGTAAAACAGACATTCAAGTACAATAATTTTACTTATTTTATCCCTTTAAGTAAATCAAGCTTATTCTTAAAGTTTCAAAATTATATTTTCCATAACTTTAAAGAAATATAACTATTATTAATACCAATGTTCTTTTCTACCTGGTATACAGAAATGAGAATGTTACAATTCACACAATGTTGTCTGTGTTTAATGTTTAGCTGTCCCTTTATGTTATCTTCAGAATTAAAATAGCCCCCTCGCACAATAAACTTCCAATCTTTTTCTTTTATCTACTCATGGAACTAAATAAAACTGTGTCTCTTTCAAATATACTAATTTTAAAAAAATAAATTGTGAAAGAGATGTTTGTTTCTAAAGATTTGTAAAATCATGTTGGTGTTTTTTGTTTATTTGCCTTGAAAAAGTGTTTATGCTTTCTTTTGCATGTCAAGTCAATATCAAAGAAAAGAGAGTTTTCTTTTGCAGTTTTAAGAGTAATAAAGTGTTGTTTAAGTTTACATACTTTCTGATGCTGTTTGCTGTAACTGCGTTTCATTTGCTTCTTCTGTCTCTTCTGCTTCCTCTTGTATAAATATACCATCATCCGCAATCGCTAGTTTTTCTCCTGTGGGCGTTGCTGGAACTGTTTGTTGTTTCTCAGCATCATTAGTTGTATTAATTTCTGCAGTCTCTCCTTCGAGACACAAAAGCTTTATCACTGTGGTCTCCTGCTTCTGCGTCTCAATTTGGGGTTCAACTTTCATCTCATGGTCCACGATGGTTTGATGTGTCACTTCATGTAGATCAAATGCCTATTATATGTTAGAACAAAAACTGCATCAGCTGAAACATGTTGGATGCCATGAAAATAAATATTTTTTTTATCATGGGCTCATAATTAACGTGTGCAGATGAAAGATAATGTCTATTCTTTTAGTATATTTTCTTGTTGTAACTCTCAAACCTTGGGAACTCTCTTTTTCTCCTCAGAATAATCTTCTGGGATCTTTCCCTCTTTGAAACTTGTCATTTCTAATTTTTCTTCTGTATGCAGTTCTTCTTGGTTGCTTTCATCAAATGCTCCAGCGCCGACATACGTTGTTGATAAAGTTTGCAGTGTCATATCTGCAGGCACACCTATCATTATACAAATGAGTTGTTGAATGCAATGATGCACACATTGTGTTCCGTGTTAATGTTTAGCTGTACCTCTATGTTATTTTCAAAATTTAGATAGCCGCCTGGCCCAATAAGCTTCATGTTATCATCTACTCGCAGAACTGAATAAAACTGTGTCTCTTTCAAATATACTATTTAAATATTTTGTGACAGATATTTGTTTCTAAAGATTTGTAAAATCATGTTGGGGTTTTTTTATTTATTTTCCTTGTAAAATTGTTGTGATTTGTTCTTGCATGTGAAGTCAAATTTAATGAAAAGAGAAAGATCTCCTTGGGCAGTTTTAAGAGTAATTAAGTGTAGTTAAATTTTGAACACATACTTTCTGATGCAGTTTTCAGTAACTGCATTTTATTTGCTCCTTCCGTCTTGTTTGCTTCCTCTTGTATGAATCCCTCATCATTATTGATCTCAAATTTTTCTACTCTGTTTGACGCTGGAACCTTTTCTTGTTCTTCATTATCATTTGTTGAAGTTATTTCTGTATTCTCTCCTTCCAAATTCAGATGCTTTATAAATATTATTTCCTGGTTCTGTGCTTCAGATTGGGGTTCATCTTTCAGTTCATTTTCCACACTGGTTTGGTGTATCAGTTCCTGCAGAACAAATGCCTGTTTCAACAAATACTATGTCATAGCTTAAAGATGTGTGAGGTGAAAATCAATGTTTTGTTGACATGGACTTCTAATTAGCATATGCAAGTGTGAAAATGCAAGGTGGTATCTATCACTTTCTAGTTTATTTTGCTGATATCTGCTCAAACCTTTGGAACTGTCGTTTTCATCTCAATATCTGTTTTCGGTATCTGCCTTTCTTTGGCACCTGCTGAGTCCGTTTCTGTATATATTTCTTGAATGCTTTTGTCTACTGCTTCAACACTGACAGATGTTGTATTGGATAATGTTTGTGGGGCTCTATCTTCAGGCATACCTATCGATATACAAATGAGAGTTTGAATGCAATCACCAACACAAAGTTGTCTATGCTACTGCTTTTATGTGTGTGTATATATTTGAAAATTAGATAGGTCCCACTAGCATAACAAGCTGCTCTACATGTCATCCACATACAGAGCTGGATAAATTTATTGTTACGTTTTCCCATAGAAGAATAAGCTTGTTGTGCTTGTTTGCAGAATGTCAAGTCAAATTTGTTAAAAAAGGAAGAGCAGGTTACTGAAGTTTCAAAACCTAGTTACTTTTTTTCATATCTTTGTTACTCCATATCATTGGATTCTTTGATATTTGTTTCTTTCTCTGGTGTATTTTCTTTTTTTACCTTTCGGTATCTCTGAATTATTGACCAGTTGTGACTCTAGAATCTTCTCTAGTTCATCAACATCATAACTTGATTTTGTTCTGCTTTCCAATCCCATCTTTCCATCACCGTGGATATGCTCTGTAATCAAGCTCTCCATGCTTGATGTTTCTGATTGGTGGTCTATCTGTTCATTTTCTACATCGACCTTCATTACAGTTTCTGGTTGATCAGTTGCCTGTTTTAACATATGCAGTTTCAAAACCAATTTTGTATTGCCAATGGAGAAAATAAATGATTGGTTGTTAGTTTGTGTGGACATGCAATTACTTTTGTTGAACATCTAGCAGATGTCTCTGATTATTTTCTTAACATTATTTCTAGCTAACCTCAACAGCATTGGCTGCTTTCTCAAGGTCATTGTCTAGTCTGCAGTCCATGTGGTCATCTGTTGTTGCTGATTCCTCTTCCTGAACATTTTGCTGCTGTGAAGTTTTCTCTACTGTTTTGGGTAATTCTGACTGGTTTTTATCATCCAGTATTTTCTGTTCTGCATGTATTTCTTCTTGAATGCTTTCTTCAACTCTTTGAATTCTGAATGATGCTGTAGTATGTATAGTTGATAGAACTTTTTCCTCAGGCACACCTTATACCAAAAAATGTTGAATGCAATAATCAACACATGTTGGACTATGGTCGTATGCTCTGTTGAAAATTAAAAAAAATCCTACTGCCCAACATGCTGCTTTTTTGGCCAAGGAATTATTGTTTACATGTTTTCTTCCACATAGAGATTTGGATAAATTTGTTCTTTCTTTTGAAACTAGAAACACCGTAGTTTTTAATTTTATTCTATGGGCCAAACAAATTTTGTTTCAAGGGATTTGAGAAACCATCTAGGTCTTCTATACTTTATATTTATTTTTCCAGGTAAGAATAAGTTTATTGTATATGCTTCTAGGATCTCAAATCAAAATCAGTAAAAGCAAAGGAGTGGATTTGCTAAAATTTTAAATCATAATTACTTTGTATGTTAAACTTTTGTATCTCCACACTGATGGCTTCTTTGATATCTGTTACTTCCTCTGGCATTGTTTTACCACCATCCTCGATATCTGAATTCTCAACTGAACATGATTGTGGTATCTTCTTCTGTTTGCTCACATCAGAACTTGATTTTGTGCTCCTTTCCATTGTTAGCTTTTCTTCAGCATCGATATGCTTTGTTATTATACTCTCCATGCTCAATGCTTGCAATCGGTGATCACCATGTTGTTCGCTTTCTGCACTGACCTTAACCATGGTTTTGGGTTGATCAATTGCCTGTTTCAATTTATGCAGTATCAGAATCAATTTGTTTTACAAATGGAGAAAATAAATGATTGATTGTTGTTTGCATGGATATCCAAGCATGTTTCAATTTATGTGTGGGAAATGACATACTGTTATGGTTCCGATTATTTTCTTGTTAACTACATTACTGCCTAACCTCAACAATATCAACTCTTTGCTCAAGTTTATTTTCTGGTTTGTTGCTATTGTTGTTATCTATTGCGGCTGAGTCATCTTCTATTGTCTCGCCTTCTAAATTCAGATGTTTTACTATGGAGTCCAGGTTCTGCGCTTCAACTTGAATTTCAGCTTTCTTTTCATATTCCACATTTGAGTTTTCTTTCACTTCATGTAGATCAAATGCCTATTTTAATATATACTGTGTCAGAACTTAATATTTACCACAGGAAAAGACAAAAAGAAATTATTTTGGTGTGCATGGATGTAGAATTAAGATGGCTATAGATTAAAATGCAAGATATCATGCATTATTTCCTATTTTATTTTGTTGTTGGCTGCACAAACCTCAGAAACTTTCTTTTTCTCCTGCAAATCATTCTCTGGACTCTGCTGCTCTTTGGTATCTGTTACTGCTGATTCCACTTCATTTTGTATTTCTTCTTGGATGCTTTCCTCAACTGTTTCAACTCCAACAGATGCAATGGTGTGCAATGTTGACAGAGCTTTATCTGCAGCCACACCTGTCATTATACAAATTAGAAGTTGAGCGCAATCATCCACATAAGGTTGGCTACTATACTATTTTTTGTGCAATTATATTTTTCTTTCAAAATATTAAAAACCCACTGGCATGAAAGTTTCTTTAATACGGACTAAGAATTACTGTTTAGATATTGTGATCCACATATATAATTAGATTAAATTGTTCTTTAATCCAAACTGAATACATAGAGGAGATTAACTTTTTCGCCACGCTTTTTGCTATTCACACCACTTTTTTTATTGTGACTTCCAGAATTTAATTTCCAGAATTGTGTTTCAGAAACTAAATTCTGGAAGCAATTTCCAATCACTTTTGGAAATTATATTCTGGAAACAATTTTGTACCTTCTGAAATCTAAATTCTAGCATTAAATTCTGGAAATAATTTCGGAAGTGATTTTATATCTTTTAGAAACTAAATTCCAGAAGCTAAACTTCAAGAATTTATGGCCTTTTTGGTGAACATGATAGGAAATAATAAGATGACTGTTGGAAAAAGATATGATATGATAAGGGAAGAATAAGCTCTTATAATATCCTATGTGTAATGTAAAATAGGATAGTAAAGCAAATAACATTATTTCTTCCCATTTAATGTTTGCCAAAGTTACTCTTTTATCAAAATTAATATTATTTTTTGTTGAATTATTTAATTTTTTGAATTTTCAATAAAGATATAGATATTAAAATAAAAAATGTGTTCATAAAATGTTAAAATTTTGATAATAAATTATAATTATTTTTTTCAATTAAAAATTATTTTTTGTAAAAAATTATAATTAAAAAATAAATTTTAAAATTTTATTTTATAAAATGAGTAAAATATCTTTTATAAAAAATATACTTTTCTTAAAAAAAATTATTAAAAAATATTCATGTAATATTTTTTTTATAAAAGTATTAAAGTTATATTTTTTGAATAATTATTTTTGGGACTTAGTCTTTATAAAATATTTTGTTAGAATATAATCCCTACTTTATCACAAATTATTAATTTTAGTTCATATAGCTAACGTGCTTCATTGAGATACGTACTGCCAGCCAAGTGTCAGTTCTTGGTTAGATCACATAAGTTTGAGGGACTAAAGTAATAATTCGTGAAGAAGAAGTGATTATTTCCTAACCAAATATTTTATACGGACTCCAAATTTTGAAACTTTTGTATGGACCAAAGTATGAGTACAGAAGTAAAAAAAAAAAAAGTTATCCTATCCCATGGCTCCTAATTCATTACCCTCCCCAAGATAAGAATGTGAACAATTAGTTAGGATAATTCAATTGGACTATCATATCGTATTGTTCAACTGAAAATAAAATAGGATGGGATAAACTATTTTATCATATTCTTTTATCTTAACCACCAAAAAGGCCTATAGTTTCCAGAAGATATTAAATACGTTAAAAAAATTAAATTCTAGAATTCACATTAAAAAAAATGTATGAACAGCAAAAAAGTTTGATGAGAATAGCAATCCCCATACATAGATATTGATGTTATTAGTTTATGCCGAAGAAATTTGGATCTGGGAAATTCAAAAGCCATGTTTGTCATTTTTTCCAGGAAATTTAGATGTCATGTTTGTCAAATTTCTTAAAAAAAATAAAAAAGTTGGGTCAAACAAAACAACAACAACCAGTCTTATTATACTAGTTGAAGATGGCTACATGGATCACATGACACCGTTGAGCACGATCAAAATCAAAATTCTTAGAAATATTAGTTATCAATAGATCTATTTTAATAACATTTTTTAAGGTTCTTTCAGCTACCCCTTTTTATCGAACTAAGAGTCATGTTATTCATTCTCTTCACCCGTGCCTGTAGTGATCTTCTGGAAAAACTCTTAGATTCTAAAGTCTTCTTCCATAACTCAAGTTTAGCATTAACCCTCTGTTTTTTAATCCTCAACTAACACTATGTAGTTTGCAAAAAGCATGTACTTAAGGATAATCTTTTGTATGTTATTTTTAAGTACATAAGACTAGGTTAAATAAGTAAGCAAAGCCTTGAACCTATCCTTATAGGGAAATCCTTAAATTTGCCTCTAAGAATTCTTATACATGTAGTTACCCCCTCATACATATCCTATACAGCCCAAATATATACTACACGAACCATTTTCTTTTCTAAAGCCTTCCATAACACTTTTCTTTTTGTATGGTCATATGCCTTTTCCAGGTAAATAAAAATATTATGTAAATTCTTTTCTTTGTTGCAGTACTTTTCCATCAATTTCGTAAAAAATATATATCTTATGTTTTAGACCTTTCTGGCATAAAACATGTTGATGTCCCACATCAACTATAGATATAGCTAAATAAGAGCTTATAAAAGTTAAAACAATCCTCACCTTACAAGATAGCTTTTGGGTTGAGTTAGGTTTAAAGTCCAAATTCAACATAGTATCAGAGCCTATTGAGATCCAATATTGGGACACCCTTGGCTAAAAAACAAAAGTCTAGCCCACTAATTTTCTTAGTGCAATTAACCTAGTCCTTTGACTTTTCCAGTGCTACTTACCTAGCCCCGCAACTTATCTTTTGCTATATCTATAAAAAGAAAAAGTCTCACATTGACTATAGATAATGTTAAATAAGACCTTATAAAGGTTAAATTAATCCTTACCTTATAAACTAGCTTTTAGGGTTGAGGTAGGCTTAAAGCCCAAATTCAACAAACCCAAATTAATGTTTTCAATCCAATTTCCTTTCATAGTCTATGCTCAATCACCTTTTTCCACAACTTTATATTGTGACTCATAAGTTTAATCTCTGTAATGTGCACAATTCAAAATATGGCCCTTCCTTTTGTATATAGGAACCAAAGCACTTGTCTTCCATTCATCTAGCATATTTTTAACTCTCAAAATCTTTAAAGTTTTGTAAGCCACTCAATTCCTTGTTCTCCCATACATTTCAAAAAGTTGGACCAAACAAATTTCTAGAAATTCTCTTAAAAATGATTTTTTTAAAATGAAGAAAGTACTAAAAAAAATAGAGCATTTAGATAAGCTGATTGTAGTAGCTTCTTCTTCTATATTCTAAATCCAAGACCCAACAACACACTACCCAAGAAACTTAAAAGTAACTTTTAAGCTAAATGAAACATGAAATTACCAACTGCTTTAAACTTCAACTTTAAAGTAGCTTTTAAGACCCAAAGAAGTCAAGCCAATCCTGACTTTAAGCTTGTTGTCTTTTTGTTGGATTCAAAATCAAATTTGGTAAGGACAAAAGAGAAGGATGTTGAATTTTCCAACTATAATTACTTTCTGTAGCAGATTTTTGTAACTCTATTTAGTGGCTTCTTTGATATTTATTGATTCCTTAGGTTTGATTTTACCAAATTCCTTGATCTCTGGATTGTTGATTGAGTGGGACTCTGGATTCTTCTCCTCATTATCTATTTCATAAGTTGTTTTTGAACTGCTTTCCATTTCTTCTCCTTCTATATTGATATGTTTTACAATCACATTCTCCATGCTTGATGCTTCAGATTGGTGGTGAGCATTTTCTTCCATCTCTGCATCAATCTTGACCATGGATTTGGGGTTCTCAATTGCCTGTTTGACATTGCAGCATCAGTATTAAATTTGTTTGCATGGATGCATAAGCACAAGCAGTTTGTGTGAAACAGTATGCAGTTATCTATATGAATATTTTCTTGTTTACTTCATAACAGCCTAACCTCAAGAACTATAGTCATTTGCTTAAGTTCACTTTCTGCTGTGCTGCTATTGTTCTCTGTCACAATTGATTCCTCTTCCTTACCTTCATCCTCAAGTACACCTGTCATTGTGCATATAATGTGTTTGTACGCTATCATCTGTACAAAGTTTGCTAAAGTAGTTCATGTTATGTTGAATGATTCCCAACACAAGGTTGACTAGGTGCTCTTCCTTTTTTTGTGGTTTGTGGATTTATGTTTACATCAAAATAAAAAATTCCACTCCCTCAATAAGACAACAAGGCGCTTTATGAGGCAAAATAATTACAATTTACTTGTTATAATTCACATACACAATTGAGTTCTTGTTTCTTTTATCTGAACACAATGGTTTGCAGTTCTAGTCTGAGCGAAGATTTTTTGTTTGAAGGTGTTTCAAAAACCACGTAGGCCTCCCTTTTATTTTCCCCATAAATTACAAGCTTCTTGCATTTGTTTCTAGGATGTCAAATGAAAATTTGGTTCAAACATAAGAGCAGTTTGTAAATTTTCAAACCTTGATTACTCTCAAATTCAGATTTTTGTAACTCTGCTTCAGTAGCTTCTTTGATATATATTATTTTCTCTGGCATGATTTTTCCACCATCCTTGATCTCTGAATTTTTTGTAGAGTATGCTTCTGAAGTCTTTTCCAGTTCTTCCACATCTTGACTTGATCTTGTACTGCTTTCGTTGGTCAACTTTCCTTCCAAATGGGAATGCTTTGCAATCTCATTCTCCATTTTGAATACTTCAGATTGGTGGTCAGTATCTCCATTTTTTGCAGCGTCTTTGCCCACAGATTGGGTTAGATCAATTTTCTGTTTTAACATATGCAGCATAAGAATCAAATTTACATCACAAAAAAAGATAATAAATGATTGAATTTTACATATGGATGAGTGTATTATGGTGTGAAAAAGAATGCAGGTATCATCTACATGAATATTTTATTATTTACTTCATTCTGTCTAACCTCTAGAGCTTTAGTCATTTGCTCAAGTTCATTTTGTGGTCTGCAGCTCTGGTCGTTATCTATCACTGTTGATTCTTCTTCCTCATTTGTTTCTTTCTCAAAGATTTTTCCAGCCATCTCTCCTTGGTTAATTTCCAATTTGGGTAATGCTGATGTGGCTTCATCCTCAAGCTCACCTGTCATTATACATACGAGAAGTTTGTAACTATCATCCCCATAAAGTTTGCTTAAGTTGTTATTTTCTAGTACATCTGCTAATGCTAGATATCCTGTCTTAGAATCTGGTACCTTTTCTTATTCTCCAATGTACTTACTTGATTTTGGTATTGTTTCCATCATAACCAGTCCTTCTGATTCTCTATGCAAGATCTGGTTCTTTTTGCTATATCCTTCAGGCTGGTATTCAGCTTGTTTTTCACTTTCCACACAGGCCTTGCTTGATTCTTGAGATATATCTTGAGGTCTTGTTTCAGTGACTTCACCAGTCTTGCCACTATCTGGTTTCCTTGATTCCTCAACCAATAGATATTTAGAACTTACATCATTACCATTTTCTTGTGGACATTTGTTTTCTTCAGTTTCAATCTTTGTAATTGACTCAACTGATTGGAGACTCTGCAAAAATGGAAGGTTATCAACTCATGATATTTAATTTAGACTAAATAACCTTATTGATAAGTATAAATAAATACGAAAAACAATCAAAATTAAGCTCTCTGCAGAAGTTGAAAATTTCCTTATTACTTAAACAATGCAGTGCAACATTCCCACTTCTAAAGAAAATAAGCTATCATTGGTAAGTTGATTCATTCTTTCTTTTTTTTTTTCTTTTCTACTTGCATGTATGAGAGATATCTTCTCTCTTCAATGCTCTTTTCAGCAAATCCTGAAGCTTGCAGTTCAGTCTTTTCTGGAATCAGAATTATGTGTCCTCTTTTTTCTTTCTTCCTGTTTGTTTTTCTGCTGAGTCTCTCTTGTCTCCATCATATTTTTCTGGATTGGTTTTGTTATTTTCAGTGGTCTCTGAGTCCCATTTGAGTTATTTCCTCTGCATTTTCCTCCTTTTCCCTATACATTCAGCCCAACTAAAATTTTTGTCTCATCCACCATGTCAACTTGTGGCACTGCTATTTCTTTCAGTGCTTAGTTAGAGATATATCTTTAGATTTTTCCCTTTCTATTGCAATTTTTTCTTACTTGGTCCATCTGTTAATGTGTTTTCAAGCTTAAACCTTTCATATTCATTTTCAAAGTAGCTTTGCCATAGCTATTAGTAACATTTACTGTGGAGGAATCATCAGTTTTATGAGGCATGGATTTATCCTATTTAGTCCTATATTTATCATATACTAATTGCTAGAACTGATTGACTGACTGTGTTCTTCCATTTGTGCTTTTGTGCTGATGGCATTCCCACTTTCTCGTTCAGTACCTCAAGCTTATTTCTTTAATATCATCCTCTGCATGTTTCTGTTACTATTATGCTTGCTGTCCATGTCTTCTTTATCTGTTACACATGGCTCTGTTACTCTTTTAATCATCCTTGCTTGGCTTCTTCGTTTCTAAGTCAAGGTTAGAATAGAAATTAAAACTATTGACTAGGCTGTTATATTATGCTTGTTATCCATGTTCTCCTTACCTCTTTCACATGGATCTGTCACTCTTTTATCATCACTGCCAAGAATTTTGGTTTCCAAGTCAAGGTTAGAAATTAAAACTTTATTTATCATACCAATATGATAGAGTTTTCGTTTGAGCAGAAATAAGACAAAGTATGTTCATTGTAAGTTTAGCAAAAAAAACAAGATGAGGATCATGAGTTGGAAGTTAAAAATGGAGATGATATTATATCACAAGTTTCTCAATTCAGATACTTAGGATTGATTATGCAGAATGACGGGGAAATTAATGAAGATGTTACTCATAGAATACAAGCTTGGTGGTTAAAGTTGAGAAAGGTATCAAGAATTATTTGTGACCGTGTAGTACCTATCAAGCTAAAAGGAAAGTTTTATCATACTACAATACAACCAGCTATTTGATATGGTAGTAAATGCTAGGCCTTAAATGAAGATGAGAAAAAAGTGGAAATGACAGAAATGAGAATGTTATTTGAAAAGATCTTTTGATTAATAATATTTCTGAAATTTAATTTTTAACCAAGTTCAGTGGCATTGTGTGATCTATGTAGCCAACTTCATACATTGGAATAAGACTTGGTGGTTGTTATTTTTGTTGCATTGATCATACAAACATTGCATTGAAAAAACTTATAGCAGTTCATTGTATAGGGATCAGCATCTTTCTTTTCCCCTTGCATCTTGTGCTCTCATTTTTCTGTAGTCTCTTAGATCACTTTCAATAGATGCATCTAAACACAGTTGCATTTAACCGTTCTTTGTGTGTCATTCTATATTTATCATTTGTATAAGCATTTTTCCACTTCCGCATATGTCCAATAATATTAATGGATGGGATAATCTTGAAAGTTTATTGTGGAGGGACCTCTGTTTCATTGGCATGCTACCCTAATATTATTTCCTTAACATCTCTAGTAGACCAGAGTCATCATATTATAGGTTTGCCCATGATAGCAACATTTCTCATTTCACTACCGATTGATCTTGGTGTTTGTTACAATTGGGAATGTACATGCCTAAATCAGCCCCAAAAGCTAACTAGAGGGAAGAGGATTGTCAAATCGTTAGGGTACTTTGTCTACATACTCAACCAAAGGTGAATCTTAAACCCTCTACCTTTTTCACCCAAAACTAGACATATAGAACTTGACATTGACAGGATTGGATGTCTATGGCTGACCCAACAACAGGACTAGAATAGGATTTGATGTCCTGACAGAATCCGGAACTGATTGAACTTAAATCAAACCCAAAAGCTAGTTCGAGGGGGTGGATTGCTGAGTCATTTTAAGGGATACTTCATCTATATATTCAACTACTGAGATCTTAATAGTTTTCTTCCTTTCAAATAAAGAATATATTTATCCAGGATTTTGTTAACATCAATTCTTAGGACTAATTTTAAGTAACTAAAAGTAAAAAGATTTATTGGAAAAGAAATATTTATTACATCATTTGAAATCCTTAATATATTTAAATTTGGATCTTTTCCATTTCCAAGAGTTGGGAAATATTCGGTAGATAACGGCAATTTTTCAAGGATCCTGAAAATCCCAACTGTGTCTTCCCACTATACAGAGGACCATGCTTCCTCACATAAACATGAAAATAATTGTCATGATAAAGAAATCCCCAAACCAACTATTTTTTGTTTATAAGTACTACACACCCAAAAGCCAAAAGGAATATTACTGCATAATAACCATGTTTAGCAGGAGAATCAAGCAGCAATAGAAGTAAGGCTTCCGACATTGAGATAACTAATCAAACTGTTTACTTCAGGTACATACATGCAATGACAGAAGCTAATTCTGCTAGAATCAGGTCATGAAAACTTTAATAGAAAGACATACCATATCAGATGCATCTTCTGGAGTCTTGGTTTCAGCTTCCATGTTGTTGGCCTGATCAATTTGGAAGAAGGTGAAATTGCAAAAGAATATTGATGAATTAAACACGAACTATCTTCTGTAGTGTTGCTTCACTTTTGATCTCCCAGAACATAGGCTGCTAGCTCGATTATGTATGTTCTGCCAGAGCTTCTTGTGACTTCTAATCGAAACTAGCTGTAGTAGAGACGTGTGTGCATGTACATGTTAATATACTTGGATAGCAATATTACTGAAGTACCTTTGAAGTGAATAGCACTCGTAATATGGTAATACATGTCACTAGTAGTTCACAACTGCAATGGTCCTGCTGATAGATCAATCACATGCCCAATGCCTAATATTCAACTTTATGTCTACGATAAATTAATTCTTATTTATTATCCATATTTATCCATCTAGTCACACTAGGCATAATTATTTATCCATATTTTTTTGGGTTGGCTTTTCTGTAGTCAAGGATCCTACTTTGAATTGCTTGGTCTGCCAAACTTCTCAATCTGCTTATGGCTTGTTTGATGACTAATAACGTGATCTTAAATAAGGTTTTCTAAAAATTTATAAATTTTTTTATTTAATTTTTCATTTTTAATTTTTTTAAACAAGTCTTTAAATTATTGTTTTTCTTTTTTATTCAGTCTATCTATTAGTAATTTGTGAGTTTTTTCTAGTATGTAATATCCAACTTAACTCATGTAATTTGTGAGAGTTGATGTGGATGATGGTGTGACATCTATACTGTGTAAGTATGAAATTTAGTTAATTTATTGCTAAATTAATTTTTTATGGTAGATAAATATACATAACGTTATAAGTATTTTAGAAAATGATTGTTCCACTGGTATTAAAAATATAAAAATGTATTTAATTAATAAAATATATTCTAATGATAATTTTTAAATGTTTTATCATACTTGATGTTAATTGATGATATTTAAGTACTTTTTTAAAGTAATTAAAGAAACTATTAATTTGATTTGAGTTTGATGAATAAGTTTATATGACGGGTTTAAAATGAGAGTGACAATGTTATATGAAGTTTTTTCTCAAAAATAAAAGCTTAAATTTATAATATAGAGACAAAATGAACTGCAAATAGTGTCATCCAGCATAATCTCCTTTTTCCATTACGTGTAGCGTAGATATCCTTCAATAGGTTTTGTAAGTCATTTGCCAATTGCCAGGTTAAATGGGAGAGGAATTTTTGGGGTGCGTCTGGCTTAGTAGCAAAGTCAAACTTTCTTGGAATGTTCAAGAGACAGTAGTTTTATTATACTTTTCTAATATCTTTCTACTACTTTATAAAATAAGTACTAAATAAAAATATTTGTTTATTATTATGTTAAAAATATAAAATATATTAAATAATTTATTTATTTAATAATTAAGAAAATTTATAAAAACAAAAGATAAGATTTTGTAGATGAATAAAGTAGCTTTCATGTGGCTAGTGGAATATTGGCTGTGGAAAGCAACTATGAGAGAGAATATCCAGGAAGGCATACAGTGTATAATTGATTGGTTTGGAATAAATCCGAAGATGATGTAAGCATCGCAGCATAACATGGTCGGAGTTCTGTGCCACGTGGATATGCATAACTGGTCAGAATTGATCATGCTAATAGAGTTTACAAGGTGTCTTAGAAATGAATTACATCTGTAAGATATGCTACAATTGTGGCTGTATTCTGAAAAGTTAGTAAATATATTGCTATATGTATAAAGGTCAGCATGAAGCATGAACCACAATCTAATTAACGGCATTCTTATGTTTAATACTGTTAATTTATTCATTTTCTCAAACTAAAAAATATGTTTACTAGCCACAATCTAGTGGGTTTAAAAATGGAAAAACAATATCTTTTTTTAATATAGATCTGCCTGGTTAATTTTGTGTTACGTGCCTCAAAATTTGCTTTTGAGAGACCTCAAATGGAATCAGCTACTGGTTGGTTGCCCGCAAAATAACACATGATCAAAGAAAATATAGATGGTAGCTGGTTGGTGTGGAACAGGAACTCCAGAGATAATGTGTGTGAGATGAACTGTTTGAACCTTGTACTAGCATTGGAACTAGCAACAGATATTGGACATGCAGAGGTGCGAAATATGCTCTCATGAGAATGAAAAATGGTTTAACTGAGAACCTAGCCTGTATTGGCTCCCTAGAAAATCTTTTGCAAAAAACTACGTATTATGTTTAATACTTCTTATAGGTGAAAAAATAACAAATCAAGTTATGTGATTAATTTATTTATTTTCTCAAATCAAGAATTATGTAAATAATTTATGACGATGTAGTTGTTTAGTAACCCAAGTATATTGTTAATTAATTTTTAATTAAATACTTGTTAAAAGTACTATAAGCTGAAGAGAGTATTGTATATTTATTTTAAATTAACGGTTGTGATTTATTAAATATTTTTTAGATTAAAATTTTTATATCTTTTTTAAATAAATTATTAATTTCATTATTGATTAGTATAAAATTAACTAGAATAATTATTTTACGTTTAAAAGAATATAAAATGCTCTCTTAATTTATAAAATACTATAAAAATTACTAATTATTTTTGTTACATCATAGTCTTCTAAATATACATTAAATAGTTATGAAATTCCTTTGATATGGTTAATTTGATCTTCCATAAACATAAATTTAATAACTGTTTTGTGTTTATAAACTTTTATGCGATCTTACATACCGTATTAAATTTTGAATTTTGAATAATAAAACTTAATTTTATGATCTTATTATATTTTGATGCGCTGATGTGGATGAGTTTGTCTGTTTTGGAACATTAACTTCAAAGGATTGGGTTCTCTACTTTCCAACATAAAACTGTTTCATTCAGATTACACGCACCTATGAGCTCATTTTGGGTGCTTTTTATTGTCATTTAGTGATAATTTGCATTTGCATTTGCATGCATTAAACAAAAAGTGGCACAACATTGCAAAGAAACAATCCTTTTCAGACCGACCAAAGCTGAATTATTAGGACCCTCCCCGCCGCCCCATGCGTCAGGATTGGAATGTTATTAAATGATCGATCATTGGACTTCCAGTGGCTCAGAATACCAAACAAGTTGTATTCATTCATCATATGCATACCCTCATTCTCTCATTAATAAAGTATCTTTTAGCTCACAATTCAAGTGTGGACCAAAAGAATATGAAATGAGTTGTAGAATTGCGATACTCTAAGCTTGTCCCAACCTCAAAATAAAAAGGGTAATCGATCCACTGTTAAAGAAATCTTCCAAGCAACTGTGGTTGTTCCACCACCTCCATCAAAGCAAGTACAAATTTTGAATCAATGTAACCCTTTGTTTTCGCGATGATGTTGATCCAAAATCCCCATTCAATGTTCCTTTATTTTAATACATTTGTTCCATAAAATTGAATCAACTTGTTTATTGATCATAAAATGCGCAGGTGTACGTAATAATAATAATAATAATAATAATAATAATAATAATTATTATTATTATTATTATTATATTTTGAAATCCTCGTTTATGTCTTTAATCTAATAAAAATTGTTATTTTAGTAAGAAGGTATTAATAGAAGTATTCTTTAAAAATTCTAAGTTGAGAATGTTAGATTTCTATGTTTAGGTTGTGTTTGGTAACATAAACTTATAACTTATTTAAAAGTTTATGGTTTATTTTATTTTAAAAAGTTAGCTTATAAAGTTGTCTGAGAACAAAAGAAAATAGAAAAAAATTATAAATTAAAAAGGTTATTGAAGTATTAAACTTATAGCTTAAAGTTAATAATAATTTTATCTCTAATTTGTCCTTATCCTTTTATATAAATTACAAATCTTAAATATTTTTCTCATTTAATTCTTGTATTTTACATATCTATTTCAATTATTTAATATATTTAAACTAATTACCAAACAACTCTAATTCAATCAACTACTTATAAAAGCATAAGTTTTCAGTTATAAGTCTATCGACTAAGTTATATAATTTTTAACTAGTTTTACCAAAGAGAATCTTAGTATGAATGATTTAAAAATGTTTTTTTAAAAATTAACATTCTTAAGATTAATTTTTATCCGTTTTTCTAACATTTGTTTAATGAAATATAAAAAGAACTTATATATAGTAATATTTTATTTGAAATTACAAAATATCATAAGACTCCATGCGCTGGTGAAATAAAATGCTATAATTTCCAATAAAACTTTATTATTATTTTTTTATTATGTGCCTTGGACACACATTATAAAAATCATATTCTTTAATTACATTTTTCCAACAAAATATTCCTAATAAAAGGTGGAAATCTAAATCTAGCCAAAATAAATGTTTAAATAATTATTTAAGTTTGAATATGAACTTGTTCTAATAAATGAGCTATTGGACTTAGTTTTGATTTTTTTTTCTTTAACTCATTTTAAAATTTGAAGTATTTCAAAATGTCTATTTCCTATGATCAATTGGGCAGTTAAAATTTTCATAAGCTCAATTCTGACAATACGTTCTCTCATGAACATACATTATTTGGCACACAGTGAACTTATTCTATTCTACTGCGGGGGTATACTTGCAAAGACCGAAAATAAAAAACATTACCTTTCTTTAATCTGGTTAATTAAAGCATTTGATAACTTGTTCTCAACGTAGTATCATTATTGACACAAAATGGACATTCAAAAACAAGTTTAATGAAAATGGGTCTGTAACAAGAAACAAAGTTAGATTGGTAGCACAAGCACAGCCATGGAAAATAATGAACAAGTTCGTAGGGGCACTCTTTCCACATTTTGGTTTTCTCTCTCACTTTTTGATAATGCAAACACACATACCTCACACGGTTCAAAGACGCATCCTATTATTTGCACCATTTAAAAGAATAAAATTCTTTTATTAATATTTATGATTCAAAAATGAAATTTTTTGTAGATAAATACATTCATAAATAAGCCTTTTCTCTATTTGTCTCTTTAAGAATGTCAATTTTTTTTTACAAAACGTAATTAATTAGTTTGTTAAGATTTTTGAACGTAAGCAATAATCTTTCTTTGCATATAAACATAGTAGTATCTTTAATATCCACATATTGCAAAGAAAAATAGCAAATCATGTATTTTCATCTATGTGATATTCTTATAAAACATGACTAATTAAGTTGTCATTTTTCATCTTTCTCACCGTTTCAATAGCATTATATTTTTTAAAAATATATTAATGTTTTATTTCCATGTACACGATGTTTTTAAAGTCACATGACATATTTGCAAATAATAAAAAAATTACAAAAAAGAAACTCTCATTATAAAGGTTCAAAATAATAAATTAGGATAACATGATATCCTAAATCAACTCGGACCCTACAAATGCAATTACTCAAAACACTCAAAATTAACAAAAAATAAAACACTTAAAACATTCAAAAAAGGATCAAAATAATATCTCAAGTAAACTAAAAAATAGGAAAAGTGCAAGTGTCCAAAGAAACCCTTAGTTAGGGCAAACAATCACTACGCCAGAAAAGAGATGTAAGAGCGGTTTCATTTGAACTTAAAGAGTGTTTATAAGTGTTCTAAAATCTTGCGCTATCCAATGTCTTACACTAAAAGAGAGGTTATTTAACTGCTCTCAAATGTTGATATTAGAGAACGGTTCTGCACAAAACTACTTTCAAAAGTATAGTTTATAGAGCGATTATCCGCGTACAACAATATACAAATACTGAAAGAATTGAGGTTTAGCTATACTTGCTCCCATATATGTTCCTTAAGATTAGTAAGCACATTTGTCTAATCAAAATAACTAATCGGCATTGTACTTCTAGTAACAAATCTAATAAAAAGTCCAAATTTTGATATGTTAAGGTCAATGAGTTGCCCTGTAAAATTTCATCTAACTGCAAAATGTTATAAGTGATGAGACATATTTAAATTAATAATATAAATTTAAAAGACACATAAAGGTATTGGTGAAGGTTCAAATTACCTGTAACTTTTTTCCTAACTTCTTTGATTTGCTAATGGCCTTTAGTTTTGTTATTCCCCGAGTGTTTTTCTTCTTCAATTCTTCGGACTTAAAAAAGGAACCTCTTTCAATGTTATCTAAAGAAGTCATCTCTACAAGAATGAAAATTGTTTGTAGTAAATAATGACATTATAGTAAACTTGATTCATAAAAAAATAAACTACTAAGTTCAAATTGATTTGTGCACCTTTTTTCTTTTCTTAGGGACCTTACTAAATTTCCTATGACCTTTTATGGAATGAAATAAGGGATTTAACCAAATACCCTCTTCATGATCATGTTTGCATAAAAGTCTCAATCATCTATTACACTGTATCTGCAGTTGACATATGTTCTACACTTCTCAAAGGATCATTCTCAACATTAACTTCTTCTTCCATAAATTCGCCATTAGTATTATTAGACAGCAAGACAATTGACCATGACTTGCCAATAGGATCTGGGACATAGAATACTTGTTGAGACTGTGATGCAAGGATAAACAAGTCATTTTGATAACCCACCCTCTTAAAACGACTCTTATAAAGCCCAAGTTATCAATTCAAAACTTTGTATAATTCAATTCTCATGTGTTCAATGACTACAAAGTATGACATATTGGCATAAATGAGATTTCTATTCTTTGCACTAGAAATATGTAGTAATTAAACAACAAGAGTTATCCCACTATTTTGCATTGTACTTTGGTCCTCATGCTTTTTTGTCTAAACGGTGAACCTATTGATTAAGTAAGAAATGTATGAAAATGCATCAAAACAAGGACTTTTTTAATAACCATCGAATCTTCTTTGTAACAAAATTGTTATTCTTTATCAATTGCTCATAAACATGCTCTTTTAGCCATGAATTTAAATCTCTGGTTATGTTCTTTTGTAATCCAATCCTTACCATTATTAGGATTTTATGCTTCAGTATTTTTTTGTGCATTATTATAAAAGACTAAACCTTCATTTTGTTCCCCAAGAGAGTTTGTCTTGCATTTTAGTCCCTAAAATTAAAAATGTCACATTAGTCCCTGACTTTTATCTCCATTGGGCATTTAAGTCCCTAGACCAGACGTTGTTAATACATAATAATAGAATGTTGACATGTCACATTGAGTGACATGTGTCATTGCTTATGTGGCAAAACGATGCTGACGTATCACGTTAAGTGACACGTGTCATTGATTACTTGACAAAAACAACGTCATATGTGGATAACATATGTTTTCATTTTATTTTAGTCATTGAGATTATAACTTGTCGAGCATTTTAGTCTCCGAAATTGTCATGGACAAGCATTTTAGTTCCTAAAATTGTCACGAACGAGCATTTTAATCCCTATGAGAAAGAAAGAGGAGAAGGATGGTGGAGGTTCTGTTGAAAGAGGATCTGGTAGAGGAAACAATAAAGAAGGTTCATGTGAAGCTATATTTGCAAGATGGTTTGCAAGAAAGGGAAGGGAAGGGAAGAGGGATTGAGTTGGTAGGAGGAGAAGAAGAAGAGAAAGTAAGAGTTAGCATATGTAATCCTCCAAAGAATGCTCTTTTATTGATGAGGTGTAGATCTAATTTGTCAAAATAGCAGCTTTGGCTAATCATTTGTAGGAATCACCTGTTCACAAAGACAAATAAGAAGAAGAAGAAGAAGAAGAAAGAAGTGGTAAGAAAGATCAACACATTGAAATGAAACAAGATGAAGAATAAGAGGGAGAAAAAAAAGAACTAGGTATACAAACCAAAGATGATAGCATTTGTGAAGGAGAACCAATAGAAACTAGTTTTGTGGCCGCTAAAGAAGAAAAGTGTGTAATCACATTCTCATAAGAAGAAGCTAAAGAGGATGTGAAGGAAACCTATGAAGATAAAAACAAAACAAACCCAGAAAGCAACAAGTTATAATCTCAGGGACTAAAAAGTCCGATGAGTTATAATTTCAAGTAATAAAATGTAACAAAAACATATATTATACCACATATAACGTTATTTTTGTCACGTAATCAATGACATGTGACACGTCAGTGTCACTTTGCCAAATAAGCAATGACACGTGTCACTTAACATGACATGTCAGTATTCTGTTACTGTGTATTAACGACTTCTGGATCTAAGGACTTAAATGACCGATAAAGATGAAAGTCAAGGACTAATGTGACATTTTTAATTTTTCAGGGACTAAAATGCAAGACATAAACTCTCTTAGGGACCAAATGAGGGTTTAGTCTATTATAAAAGATTTTATTTCAGGGGTGTTTTGTAAAACGCACAAGTGCTTCTATTTGTTAACCACCAGTGCTTCCTTCTCCTATAATCATTCCTGTGTAATGCAATTTTGGAAGACCAATTGATTCCACCTTTAACGAGTGTTCATTGCAAAACTCAATAACTTCTTCAACTAAATATCGTTCAGCACCCCTCTAGTCAGCTTCTATTCTTTACATACCCTTTAAAAATCTTCATATATCTTTCAACTAGATATATTCATCTCATATATGCAAGGCCACACAATTTTCTCTTCAACCAAGTGAATGGTCAAATAAACCTAATATCAAAGAAAGAAGGTAGAAAATACCTTTCAAGCTCACATAAAGTTTTAGATATGTAGTTTTGCAAAACTAGTAATCTTGCAAGATCAACCACTTTGCTACACATTGCCTTGAAGAAAAAATAAAGCTTGGTGATTGCCATGTGAATTTTTTTGGTAGAATAGACCATATAATAATAGAAATCAAATTATCCATTAAGATATGACAATCATGAGACTTCAATTCTTTTAACTTTAGGTCCTTCAATGTTACGAGACTTTTTATGTTTGATGAATACCCCTCGGGAACCTTAATTGAATAAAGAGCCTCACAAAAAGCACATTTCTCATTTCTAGAAATATGCTATTGATGGTAAAAATGTGTTTTTCTTTTTTCACTGGTGCCAAATCAGATCATATTCCTAGCTTTACCAAGAGTCTTGCATTAATGTCATCCTTTTTATTTTCCTACGATGTTCAATAACATACAAACAATACTTTCACAAACATTTTCAACATGCATAACATCAGCAAAGTGTCTTATGTGTAATAATTTACAATAAGGTAACTCAAAGAAAATTGGCATCTTCCAACCTATAGTTGAAATTTTTTTGGCAAATGATTTTCCAAAAGCATTTATGATATGCTTAACCTCTTCAAAGATTTGTTCTCCTTTTTTCAAATAAGGACATTGTCGTTTTTCACAACTTCCAGCAATTTTTTTTTTTTGAAAGGATGACTTTGTGGCAACTACATATGATACCCTATGAAAACATTCTTGTGACAGTGTTCAAGTCTGAATTATTGTTTTTCCAAAACATATTGGACATGCACATTAACCTTTTATGCTATAATCGGATAGATTCTATAAGCAGGAAAATCATTAATTGTACCATATATAATTGCCTTGAGCGTGAAAGACTAATCTCTAAATTCGTCAGATACTTCTATGCCAATTTCCCACAACAACTTCAAATCTTCAATTAAAGGAGACAAGTACACATCGATATCATTTCTAGGTTGTTTAGGACCATAGATTACGAAAGAAAGCATCATATATTTCTGATTTATGCAAAGCCATCGAGGTAGGTTACACATTATTAAAATCACAAGTCATGTACTATGGGTGCTACTTTGCATCTCATGAGGATTCATTCCATCAGTTGTATATTCCTTGTTTCTACTGCAAAGTCTTCATATTCATCATCAAAAAATTTTCACTGAAGAGAATATGCTAGATGTCGAAGCTTCTCATCTCTAATTTTTCCTTTAGTATGCTAAGTCATCTACTTTGCATTTTTTTAAACTACAAAATAAGTGTCTTAATCTGGGTATTACTAAAAAATACCACACAACTTTGGCAAGTATAGATTCGTTCTTTAAGTAGGTTCTTTAAGTATAGATTCATTTTTTCATCGAGGTAGGTTACACATTATTAAAATCACAAGTCATGTACTATGGGTGCTACTTTGCATCTCATGAGGATTCATTCCATCAATTGTATATTCCTTGTTTCTACTGCAAAGTCTTCATATTCATCATCAAAAAATTTTCACTGAAGAGAATCTGCTAGATGTTTAAGCTTCTCATCCCTAATTTTGCCTTTAGTATGTTAAGTCATCTACTTTGCATTTTTTTTAACTACAAAATAAGTGTCTTAATATGGGTATTACTAAAAAATACCACACAACTTTGGCAAGTATAGATTCGTTCTTTAAGTATAATGACTCATTACACTTTGTACATTAACTTTGTGATGCATACTCGTTTTGAAACAAAATGCAGTCATTAGGACAAATATGTATCTTCTCATGGGTCAATCCATGATGATGCGGTATTTTGCTACTCGTTATGCACAAAGATTGTCGTTAATCCTCATTAAATATGCAAAGAAATGTATGCAATACTAGGGTGTTGTCCTAAGTTGTCTCCAAGGAATTTTTGGTTGGGAACATACATCGAACAAGTGTAAACATATATTTTAAAGCAAGTAAATTGGGGGGAGGTTTGTCAATTTCCAGATTTTAATCAAGAGCAAAATGTAAACTAGTAAAATTCAATCAATTAAGAAGAGTAATCCCTAGTCAATCAATGAGTTCTATCACTATTCTTCCAAATGATTCAATAATCCCCTATTTTTCCCTTGAATTAAGTTAATCTAAAAGCGAAAATTAACTTTAGCATCCCAATTAAAATTAAGCATCTTAATGGGCTCCAATCTCTATCCCTAAGATTAAGCAATCTCAAAGATTAATCAAAATTAAGCAATTTTGGATTAGAATTTTGTTTGGGTAATTTAGGGTTCATTAAGCAATGTTCCCCTCATGCAAATTTCATTTCATTCAGAGATTAGGGTTAATAAATCCAAGGAAATAAAAAGTAATATTGCCATTAAACCCAAGAATTCAAAAACCATGTGAGTTGACTAGGAATTACAAGAAAATTTAGCCCTCCATATGGATGGGCTTCACAAATGAAAGAAGGAAATGCAGAAACGTAAGCAACATCAATGTAAAATCAATGAGAATCAAAGGGAAATTGGAAATTAAAAACCTATAATGAACCCCTGGCTGTCACCCAAAGATCCTAGGCTCTACAAAATGCTCCCAAAGTGACAAAAGAATCTAAGGAAAATGTAAAAAAGTTTTTTTTTGTACCCTAATTTCTCAAATTCTATTTATAGTGCAGAAATTTTTGCCCAAAGTGACAACTATGGTTTCATAGTGATAACGCGCAACGTTCCAAAGTGATTACGCACATTCCATAGTGATAACGCGCAAGGTCTGTGATTTTGGCCTCTTTGGAGTTATCACTTTGGCTTCATAGTAATAACGCGCAACGTCCCAAAGTGGTTACTCTCGCTTCATAGTGTTTACGCGCAGGTCCTGTGTTTTTGCCCTCTCTGGAGTTGTCACTTTGGCATCAGAGTGATAACTTTGGCTGCTCCAGAGTGTCTACTATGGTTCCATAGTAGCTACGCGCAGGATCTTGTACTTTTTGGCCTTTCTGGAGTTGTTACTATAGGTTCATAGTGATCACTCTGGTCTACCTTTCTGGAACAAGCTTGCTGTAGTGTTCACTATAGACTCCAAAGTGATCACTTTCACCTCAAACTTTCTCAAATGCTAAAAATCCATGGAAAAAGTCTAGAAACTCCTGCACAATTATTCAAATGATCAAAATTACAAACTATATCTATGTAAATTAATGTAAATTAACCTAAAATTAAGAAATCTATTATAAATTGACCAAAATGATATTTTTATGTTATTTACAACCCTAAGTTTACTTTTTTCTATTAAGAAACATTAAAATAACAAGTAAAAATCCAATAAAATGTGGATTCATCAATCCAATGGAAGCAAGTATTTGTTTAGCATCATATGTTCTTGTATATAGCACATTATCCTCTGTTAGCATCTCATTTAATAAATGAAGCTTTTATCTGTCAATATATTTGAGGCTTTTAAGTTATAAAGCTTTAATACAGAACTCAATCTTGTGAACTTTCTGCATCCATTGTTGTAAAAACCAATTTTTATCTCCAATTTTTTTAAAATATATAAAAATAAAATAATAAAAATATTTTATAGAAAAATGGAATTTTTTAAAAAAAAAAGATTGGTTCCCGAAAACAAAAACTTGCTCTATACAAGCTTATACCCCAATATCAAAAACCAATTTAAGCACGAAAAAGGAAAAACGTACGGCTTTTGGCATTTTGTAAAAACCCTAAACGACCCATATAAATACACAAGTAAAAAAAATCTAGAGAAAAAGGGGGGAAACAAAAAAACAAAGGAGAAAACTTCTAAGAAAAAGTTTTGAAGATCAAGATAACAAAGCGAAAGAAGAATACAAAAAAAGTTTGAAAAAGAGAATACAATATAAAAAAAACAAATGCAAAAAATAAGAGAGGAGAAGAAGAAAATAAAAAGGAAGGAAAGATAGTATACAATTAATCACTACCCCACCGTTCGAATCGTTATATCAGTAAGTTTATTCCTTCTTCTTTGGTTGTTTTTTTAAAACTTACTATGGGCAAACTTATTTCTTCTTCCTCGGTTCTTTTTTTTTTTTAAACTTGCTTTGCGTAAGCTTATTTCTTCTCGGTTGTTTTCTTACTTACTCTATATAGATGTATGCCCTGAACAAAAGACATACTAAATCACTTTTTTTTCTTTTTTTTTAATGGAATATTATGATTTAATCTGTTGAATTTGAATTGATATATGTATAAGATGTGGGCATTGTGTGTACTGTAATCATCCCTTTCATTACATTTTTATTATTTTT